GGGGTAGTGTATATATCGCTAAAGAAGCAAGAGAAAGGAAGAAGAAAGGAAGAAGAAAGCCGCGAGAGGTCTAATATATATATACTAGCTCGGGCTCACTTCGCTATCGTTCCCTTTACTATACGATTTGACAATACTATCGGATTGCTATTGCTACTTAGTTACTTACTTATTTAGTTACCTAGCTATTTAATTAGCTAGTTACCTAGTTACCTAGCTATTTAGCTATTTAGCTATTTAGCTCTTAGCTCTTAACTCTTAACTCTAAACTCTAAACTCTAAACTTAGCGGCTACTACGACTACTACGACTACTACGACCGCGAGTTAGTATATCGAAGACAATCTCCCTGTTACTAAAGTCCGTATCGAAGAACTCTTCCTCTTCCTCTACTTCCTAGCTACGTAGAATACGACTTATAACTCGATCGATATATACGTTACTTATAGCGGCGTCTCTAGCCTTCGGTATTAGCGTGCGACTACGACTAGATACCCGTACTAGTAACAAGGAAAGGACTATATTGCGAGCTATACGGGCTTAAGTAGCAGTTATCTAAACAGCACTAAAAGCATCTAGGTCCTCTAGCTCTCCTTACCGACGACGATTAGTAGGGGTTAGTATATTATTATTATCCGTCCGAATCCGACTAGCGGTACGATTTCTAGGTATCTATGCCTTAGTAACTGCACTATAGGTACGCTTCTCGCCCGTCGCGGCTAAACGACCTCCGCGACGAGCCTAACGAGACTTAGTGCTAATACTAATGCTAGTGCCGGCGCCTATAGTAGGTGTTAGTATTAGAGTTCTATAAGCTAGAGCTGCTACCGTAGTACGAGTCTTAACGCTACTACTACGCTTCTTAGACCGCTCTTAACGTAGAGCGATAGATGCGGCGATAGAGACACCTTGCTGCTCTATTCCCTACCTACGTCGGTCGTCGGTATCTATAGGCTCTTAGGATAGTCTAGCAATACCGGCATTAACGGCGGCTTTCTTACGTTTGCTAATCTTTCGCTTCTCGCGACCTCGGACAAGGTACTGCTTGCGCTCCTTATAGACCTTCTTAGTAATCCGGTTTAGCATCCTAAGGACGTTATCTATCGGTAGATTAATACAATTAACGCGGCTATCTCGATTAGAAGCTAGATCCTTCTAGTACTATACTACGAATGCTAGTGCCCGCTCTTCGACTATAGCCTAATTAATGTCGCCGCACTCCTCGTATATAGGCGGTTAGAAGACCTCGCATAATGCCTAGATAATTGCTTCTAGTATAAGAACACTAGTAGGGATATTAAAGACACGGCTTCCGCATTCGTCGTAAAACACTCGATTAGCCTACTCTAAGATCTACTTACTAATAAGAGGGATAGCATATACTTAAGGCGACCTATATCGTAGACGCTTAGCTAGACTAGGTACTATAGGAGGATCTTACTAACTTATAATCTCTAACAATTCTAGATTATATATACTGCAACAGGTGTCTATGCCCTACACTATACGATCTACAGGTATCGGATATATATACTTAGCTTTACTAAGATACTCGTTGCCGATAGCACGCATATACTACCGGTACGCCTTATTCGGATAATATCGCGCATTAATTAAGTGGCGGAAGAGCTTAGGATATTTATCGCGTACTGCTATCTTATCTTTGTTCTACTATAGTATTATACGGTTGTCGGCGATAGCTTAATCTACTATAATATTGAACTTACTCCGACCTCTAGAATCGTTAGAATCGTCTAGAGGGTAAAGTAGAACCTAGTCTCTATACTAGCGAGGCTGCTACATAATGCCTTGTCCCTCTTCGAAGACTACTATATCTAGTACCTATTAGACATTAAATAGCGACTTATCGAAATTATCCTACTCTTTTCCTAGTACAATCTCTATACTCGGGTCCTCTAGTACTATAGTGCTATTGCGCAGGCTTAAAGGCACGGCTAGTATATAAGGCTAGCGATATACGATAGACTCGTCTACTACTTCTGCCGGAGTTAGGTCGCGAGGGATTATCGATTAGTAATTAGATCCTATAGGAATGCGACCCTCTATATCGTTAAGATAGTACGGTATAAAGAACGCTATAGTACTCTTTATCCCTCGGATACGTCTAGCTCGACCTAGCTTCTAATACAGATCTAGCAAATCCTTAGTAATAGGTAGGTTATACTAGCCGACGATCTTAATATCGGAGATATTGCATCTAGTTATAGTCGCTAGTATATACTATATAATGCAGATAGTAGAATCAGCCTTCTTAAACTCCGCATATCGAGCGTTCTTATCTACTATCGCGATATAGGCGGTATAGAAGGAGCATACCTTGCGGATATCGATAGTCTTCGGTATACCTAGTACTAGTAGTCGCCTATACTATGTATACTTCCGGCTACCTATCTCTAGATTAGTAACATCGATAGTTAGTTATACTAACTAAGCACGCATTAGTGTATACCTACGATCGATGCTACTACGACTATTAACGAAGATAGCGGTCTTCTAAATTAGCTCTAGAGTTGCAAAGCTATCCTTATCCGCTATATATCGCAAGACGAAGTACCAATTCTCGAAGGAGGTTAGCTTGTTCTTCGCTAAAGACTTAAAGATGTAGCTTATTAGAGGGCGATTAATACTGTCGCGCTAAACGATGCTCTAAAGAGGCTTCTTACCTATCGGGCGGAGAGCGCTACTGTCGATTAGATAGTCTACTATATTATCTAGTATAGTAGCGGATGTAGCGATAATAGGCGTATCTTTATCTAGTAAATGCCGTATTAGCGCAACCTTGCTATATATAGGGCGGAATCCTAACTAACGATAATAAAGATAAGCCTTATCGAATGCCTATAAGCCGATGCGAGGAGCTAGGTGCTTAATAACCTCCTATATCTCTAGTATAATAGCTATCTCCGGGCTGCAGACGATATACTAGATCTTGCTAGACTTTAAGTCGTCGAGGAGGCGCGGGTTCTCTCTACGAGTGTCTACAGTTACTATACCGACATTAAGTAGGCTATACTCTTATAGCGATAGGCGGCGTATAGCTTGTTCTATATTATCGCTATACTTATTAGCGATTCGAGTTAAAGGCACTAACTACTATACAATTATGCTAGTTAAGAGGGCAAATGCCTAGTAGACTAGGGTCTTACCTAAGCTAGTTGCTGCAATTATAAAGACGTCCTATTAGCCGAAGATTAAGGACATAAGGGAATCGACTTGTAGTTATATCGGCTACGGGTCTACGATGCTAGGATATAGTATATACAAGATCTTATATAATCCGTTGCAAATGATTTCCTTAAAGAATAGACGCGCCTCGCGATACTTAGTAGTATCCTATACTAATAGCTATACCTCCTCGAGTAGATATTCGAATTGAATTATATCGACCCGAGTACGAAAATAGTCTAGGAGATCTTATAGTACGCGTAAAGACGGGTATTCTAGGCGACGTAGTATATCGAAGACTAGATTATAACGACTAATAGCGAGTCGTCCTTATAGGCGCTAGTTGCGCTGCACTATTAGTATAGATATCTCGCCGGAATTGCTTAGACCGCCGGCGGCGGCGGCGGCAGCATTCGTATCTCGAGCTAACTTCTTTGCCTTCTACTTCTATCTCTTGCTTAGGTTAGAGTATTAATTTAGTATAACGGTAGTGTCGATCGATGCGTATTAATAGGTTAGCGGAAGCGTATCGAAGTTAGATATAGAGTAGGAGGTTAAGCTTTAAAAAGACAGGGTTAGAGGTACGGCACGTAATACGAAACAAAGGCACGGACCTTAACCGCGAGTAAACACGACGCTACTCGAAGAGTCTTACGCGACTAACTGCTGCTATGCTATATTAGCGCGCAATCCGAGATAGATTTAGGTAGCGTATAACCTATATATAAGTTATCGATCGAGACTATATAGCTAAGAGGTTCTAGGTGCCCGCGAAGCTGCTAGATGTTAAAAGAATAGCGGAAATCGGCATAGCGACAATCGAGTTGTCGCCGACAGCTATTAGATAGTAAGTAGTATAGTTTGCGATAGATCGAGGCACTATATCTATCTAATATACCCGCGCTAAAGTTATAGGGATATATTAAGAAGGTTAATATCGTTAGAACGGCGGAAATTAGTAGTTAGCGGTTATAAGATTACCGCCTCGAGGTTTAAAGTCGGTCTACGACTAATAGCCGCGTTTAACTACGAAATGTCGCGTAAACAAACGGGCAACGGGGATTAAAAAAGGGGATCTTTGCGATATAGACGATATACTTAGGATATTAGGGAAATGTGTAGTTGCTATCCTATATAGCTATCCGTAAAGACAAACGCGAAGCCTAGTCTAAATCTATAGTTTTTAGTCTATATAGCCTGTCCTTTTACGCTTCTCGTAGATAAAATCTAAGTGTTATATACTTTTTCGTAGGCTCTAGAACCCCCTTTAGCGAATGTTATTACTATTTGTTACGGTTGTGGAGGTATATAACGTATTCTACTGTATACGAAGCCTGAATTCTGTAGCTTCCAACAAGTTGTCGTCAGACGCTCCGCTAGAGCGGGTTCTTGGCAGAACCTGAGGCATCCACGGAGCTTCTAAATGGAGACAGGGCCCAGTCTGACCTAGCTAAGATGAAGCTATCCTACGCAGCTCAAATCCACGGCGATTCGTGGCATCTGTACACTTCGGAATGGTGCTGCCTGCGGCTAAAGATCTAAAGATCGCGGCCATTCTCCATCTGACACTTTGCATTGCCAGAAATCCTCCAGCTCTGCACAGCCTTGTGGAAACTGACCAATGGCAGACGAAGAATGGTTTCACAGAGAGACCCACTTGCGCGTGACAGAAGATCACCACTCACAAAGACCCAAGCTGCGCCTTGGCCTACCGCAGTCTGAGGCTGAACAGTAACGTCACTCCTCAATATACATCACGACCTCAGCCTTGAATGCAACCATCGAATTAATCAGATCAATACCAACACCACCAAAATGACCTCCCCAATCAAAACCTACGAAATCATCAACCAAAACACCTTCCGAGCAAAACACTTCGAAGTCCGCCAAAATGGAATCCCAATCTTATGGATCAACACACAATCACATTTCCTCGAACCACCTCAAATCAACATTCAAACACAATCCTCCAACGGACCGATCCTAGCAGCTGCGAAACTGAGAGCCATGAAGTCCGGGTGTAGAGTTATTGTCGGAAATCCTGATGCTACGTCCAAAGAACAGTGGAATGATGTTGCGAAGGAGAATTTTAGAGGGAATTGTTATGGTTTTTCGTGTGGGGGAAGGAGGTTTTTGTGGAAGAGGTGAGTCAACGAACACCTTGGTCACTGCCCTTTACTTCCATGAGGTGGTGAAATGGCATAGCAAATTCTACAAAGCAAAATCCAGAAATACCTACATTCCACCATCCTTACTCCCCACCCACCCTCCCACCCAATCCACCCCAACTGAACCTCCTCCTTTTCCTTCCAGAACCCACCAAAAAGCCCTCGGCGCCTCAACTTGGGGCTCCACAGACTTCAAACTCATCGACTCCACCTCTCCCGAAACCATCTTAGCAGTCTCTATAAAACCCATCTGTTGGTCTTTAGAATCCAGAAGTCTGAAATTTTATACCGAATTGGGGCAAGAATTGGAACTTATGGCTATGGCTGCGATAATGGGGATTGAGGAGAAGAATAGGAGGAATAAGAATGCTGCGGCTGCGAGTGGGTGAGGGGTTGGAAATTGGGGCTTAGGTAGGTATGCGTGGAATGAGGGATGGCTGGATGAATTGATCTTGACCGTCCTCGTCTATAGATGCATGGGAGTTCTAAATATTTTTCTGTCTAGATTTTGCTTCTTCCTCGGCTCCCTAAATACAAATAAGTGTTATAGAAAGACACATTTTCGTGAACTCCGCGTTAGCATGGGTATCGAATTCACTAACGTACCAGACGGAACGACAGAAAGTAAGCCCGAGGGACGGAAGAAGATGGGGGATTCTGTTGCGGCAAGTCTTATGGTTGAGATGGGCGATCGAAAAACAAAGAAATTTGAAAATCCCGCAGCTGACGAGGACATCGATAGCGACTCTCATGGTCGTGGTCTTGAGGTTCGAGCTAGTTCGGAGAAGGTGTTGAAGGTTGCGAAGATTACTTGGTGGTTGTTGAGGACGTAGGCATGTTCATTGATAAGGTACGCCTATCGAAGAGATTGATGTGTTGCGGATTCGTGGTGTCGGTTCTTCCCAATGTGTTAGAGTCCCGTAATGATGGGTCTGAGATTGGTTCGGATTCCAGTAAATCAGCCTGGTCGTCAAGCGCTTTCTGACGCAGGACGCTCCGTAAGTACGCTTGCATATGAATGATCCGCTCTCAGTTCGCGAAATGCTCAAAGCCTTGCGTAGTCGACCAACCGATATACGAGTATGATACGTACGCACTGACCTGAATCGCCAACGAATATCTTTCTCAACCTTCTGAGCCTAGAAAGAGACCTACACCTCGTCACTCAAGCTTGTGATTCCAGCGTTCCCAGAAAAATCCTTGCCTGAAGACTTGAGCCCCACCGGTGTTCTCACATTGTCAACCTGAAGGAGGCATTCATCAAAGAGTCGCGTATTCGCGAGTCCTCGAGTCCCCTTGTTGAATGTTCCAGCAATGCGGCAACAAGAACTAATCATTTGGCAGGAAGAGTCAGATGCCAGTGGACCTCGACGCATGCATCCAGAATCGTGTTCGTTCGGTATAGGCCAGTCTCCAGGAAGCTGATAGAATAGCCGGCCAAGGATTCATTAAAGTATCGTGGCGTGTGGAGACAACAATGGCAGCGTGACGAAGCAATTCCGTCGATCCTAAGACTTCCAACTCCATCATTTGCCTAGATGAATAACTGTAAGAAGGCGTCGATCTATATAGCCGACTATACCCTAGTCGACGGGCCCTTCTACTCAAACAGCTTTGCTTTGCCGCGAATTGAAGAATCTGATTGAATTCTTCTGCTCAGACTGTATCTCCAACTATCTATACCAATCACAACAAACTCTTCTCAGCCTTCCCAAGCTCCGAAAGACCTCCAACATGCCATCGAAAATGCAGCTTCAAGTCTTAAAGTACCAATACAAAACGACATGACCAAACGCCTTGAAGGAGCTCTCATTTCACGTCGCACGGAGCAGCTACTCTCAAAGAGATTCGCAAGTGCTTCTTTGGGTATGCCGATATCAGTCCAGTCAGGACTCAGCTTGAGGTTCTTCTGTATGGCCGTGCGCTCTTAGTCCATGGAAGACGTTCTCTTGAGACGGAGTGCGCTTGAACAGGCTTCCTGATCGGCTTGATGAGGCACTACAAACCCGCGGTCATAAGCAGGCGTGCAAGATGTCGAAATCCATTCGCCTCAAGAGTCGCTGTCGCTCTGTATACAGTAAAGTAAGCCGTCGACCACAGCAAAGTCCTCACACCCGTGCACACGCCAGACGGCCAAACTTAAAATCCCTCTTCCATTCCACATCTTTTTCATCATAGAACCCAAACCCCCCATCTCGCTCTCTCCTAAATATAGCCCTTCAAAACCGCCGCCTCAGCATTCAAAATACTACTCCCAGCCGCCCCAATCACAGTATTATGACTAAGCGCCACGAACTTGAGATCAAAAATCCCACTCTCATCCTCTCGTACCCTTCCCACACTAACCGCATAACCCTTCTCCAGCTCTCGATCAAGTCTGGGCTGGGGTCGATCAGGTTCGTCAAAAACCACAATCGCCTGGCGTGGTGCACTGGGACACCCCAATTTCTGGGCATCAGAAGTATACTCTCTCAGCGCGGCGATGACTTCTTGAGCGGAAGGAGGGGGTTGCTTTGAGAACTTCAAGCTCACGCAGGCGGTATGGCCGTCGAGGACGGGGACGCGGTTACATGCGGCTGAGATGCGAAGGGCGGATTGTTCTTGGAAGGCGTTTTTGTCTGAGTTGATGGCTCCTAAGATCTTTCGTGCTTCGGTTTCGAGTTTGTCTTCTTCGCCGGAGATGAAGGGGACGACGTTGTCGAGAATGTCCATGCTGCTCACGCCGGGGTATCCTGCTCCTGAGACTGCTTGCATTGTGACTACCGAGACGGTATTGATGGGGCCGAATTTTGCTTGGAGAGCGGCGAAAGGAATGACGATTCCAGCCTCTCAACTATTAAGAAGCCTTTCTCGAGTTTATGTTCTTTCCTTTGATGCGGGATCAAATCGAGATGAGGTAAGTTGACAGTCGGTACGACGAGCGGGACTAGAGGATCACGTCGATAATTCTTCGCATTGGAAAACGTCGGGATGTTGGCTTTGAGGAAAGCCATTTCTGTCCATCATCAGTATACACACACACTCTCTCTCTCCGCCATTCTCACCTGTATCCCCCGCAACATCACTATCCAAGCCGGAAAACACAACATCCACCACCCCCACAAACTCCTCCGGCGTACAATTCTTCACAACCAAATCCCCCAATTCCCGACTCATAGGCATCGCCTGTTTCCATTTCACCGCATCTTTATACTTCTTCCCGGCACTCCGGGGCGAGGCACCGACGGCCGTGAGTTTGAAATGAGGGTGTTGTGCGAGCAAGAGGATGAAACGTTGGCCTACGCTGCCGGTGGCGCCGAGGACACCTGGAAAGAAAGACGTAAAGGTCAGTATGCGGGAGGAAGGCTCAAAGGCTCGAAGTCCGTGGGAGGGACTCACTAACCGCACCTCTTTGCAGGAAACTTGGCGTTGCTGGGTAATTCGGCCATTCGGAGTTCGGTTGCGTGGCCTTGTTCGTGGATGGTGTGTTTGGCGGTTTCCATTCGAAGGAAGAGGGAATGTGTGTTTCTCACGGGTGGGGTGGTGCTAGTATGAGGCTATGCTTCTGGTGGCAGAAATTCGGAGGCTTCGTGTGACGCACTTTCTTTGGCTGGGTTCGCGGTCCCTTGCATTGGACTCATACACCTTACACCACAAGAATTAATCAAGTGAGCGCTCTCAAATCCACTTTGCTCAATAAGCAGCCGATAGATTTTTCGATTGTATTCAGAAGGCGAGTGTGCTCAGAAGAGGAAACATTCGCATGTCACTTCGTCATCATTAGAAATACCATTATCGACACACCATGATGCGCCAAATCATTTCTATATTATACAATATTCGTGCAAGATCGCCTCTCTTCGACTCGATGTCAAAGGAGCTAGTATCATTATACTTCATTATGCAGGAACAAAGAGCAACATCATCCAAGCAACGTCTCAATCCTCTCCCGAACCTTCATCCACAGTCCGTTATCGTTCTTCTCTTTCATGACTTCTTCCATGCTTCGAATCGTGTCCACAGGTCTCTGTTCGGAGATCTGTTCCGCAGAGAACCAACTGCCATGCAGACCGTAAGGTACTCGCTGCGGAAGATGAACCCTCGCGATCACATCTCGCATGTTTTTCGCATTGACGATCCAAAGTTCCGACTTGGCCCGCTGGTCCTTCGCACTATCATCAGGAACCTCTCCGTTCGCTAGTAATTGCGTCTCGTCGAAAGCGTAGAAGAGCAGATATCCATCATCCTCGTCGAGTGGCTCGTCATTCAGCTGGCGTTCGTGTGCACTTCGCTCACGAGGAACAAATCTTGGCTCTTGTGCGAACCAGCCCTCTGGCATCCGGAAGACTTTGATTGGATCGCGAGGATCTCTAGAAATTAGCACCTGAGACACCGTGCGCCCGTCAACCACACCTGTAACACTCTTGGGTGGATGTGCTCGTCCACGCTCGATGAGCTTGGTGGCATCAATCTTGACAAGAGCGTCGATCTTCGTCGCTTTCCCGAGAGCGCTGCCAAAGTCGGTCGTCGTTGTCGAGCATCCGTACACGAACCGCGCCTGCGACATTTCGAGGTCCGGCCGCACAGATGGGAACTCGAATGGCACGGCACTGAGGGCCCATTGGTGGGAGATTGAACCTGAATCAAGGTCGAAGTTATAGTAGTAGAGCCGGCATTGCTCTTCGGCGAATGGGTCTTTGAGTAGGTGCTCTTCCAGGGACGGCACCCTGAGCAGCGGCTCCTTCTCATCGTACGACTCCACGAATGAGGCATCAACCTCAGGATCGTATTTCGAGAAGAAAGGCATCTTCCTGTGGTTTGCCTCCGACTCTTGTAATGCTTTGGCCTGTGGTGGAACTGGCGGCGCCATATTGCCAGCTGCATAGATCAAAGTCGCAGAGGTGAGACGACATGCCAACATGCTAACCGAGGTGGTGCTGCCATCCAGTCCCACTTCGTCCCATGTGTTGGCTGTGTGAAAGATGCAGCAGGCGCTCGTCTCAAACCATTTCGTCTGCTTTGGGTGCCGACGCGGAAACACACCAAAGCGTGATGGTCGATCGGGATTGTAAACGACGGGCGGTAAGCCTTTGAGTTGGTTAAGAGGGTCGAGCGAGAGCGGGAGGTCCATGATTATGGTGTGTGCTGAAGATACGCCAAAGTCGTGCATCATCTTCGCACTCTTGATGCCTGGAACGCCAGCGTTCAGCATCTTCCTGGTCGGTGGTGATACTTCCGCCGCCGCTCGTACAGTCTGCGGAATTATGCTGTACTGCACGTAGGGCGGCGCGAAGCTGGAATGGAACATCAACATCTCCTTCGTCTGCGGGTCAACTTTGGGATGTGCTGTTGTCCATTCCCGCATGAAGCTGATCAAACCACTGTTCTCCCCCAACACAGCTTCCTTCTCTTTCGACTCGTTTGCCGGTTCTCCTTCTGCTACGGCTCCATTGAACCAGCCGACGGTCTCCAGCCCGGGAAGCTGTATTCGCATCGGTGGACCGCTCTCACAGAACGCCATCGCTCTTCCGTCGTGATAGACGACACTTGTGTTTGCAACACTGATCTTCTTGATCTTCTGCCTGCTTCCGGGCAGATGGCTAAGGATGACCAACAGAATCGTTCGTAATATTCGAACCGTCACAAACATCAAGCTCGCCAGTGGATTAACCAGCGTAGCTATGCTCGGCAGAATTGGCACTCGCAGCCTGCCATTGCTCTTCGCGCTCAAATATAGATCGGTGAGGATGAATTGGTTCACGAACTCGGGCTGGATCTCGCCAGTGTCCTCTTTCTTGCTGAACGACACGCCTGATAGCATGCCATCGCCATCGAACCAGTGTGCATCTCGACCGAGATCGGAATTCGAGACTGGATTGCTGCCATTACGAACGTACTCGCCGTCTGCGAGCTCTTCCGGTATTCGACCAGTGTATGTGCAGGGCGTGAGAGGTAAGGTGTGCTGTATGGGTGCAAAGTTGCCAGAGAGATATGGGTGTTTCGGCTGCGGTGTGCGTTCAATGTTCGTCGAGGGGGACCTCTTTCGCTTGCCCAGCGTACTCATCACTGTGGCGCCAATGCCGCCGCCGCCGCCTCCTCCTCCTCCTTCGATGCGGGCGTGCTGAAAGACCATGGCGGACAATGGGGTCTTTCATGTAGACATTAGCAGTGAATATAGTGAGTAGCAGCACTTGAGGCTGTCTCAGAGGTGTTGTTGTCGCAGCTCTGAAGCGGATGGTCGTCCCAACCCAGCAACACAAACAGCCCAAGTCCTGGTAGAGCTTCCCTGGTAGAGAGACGATTAAACTTCCACCACGACTCGACTCGTCGGTTGCGGATCTTCACATGAAATCGAAAGACAACACGCACATCTCCACTGCCCGCACATTGCAAACACGCATGCCCCTCGTCTTCCACGCTGTCCCGGTCCGGTCCGGTCCGCTCTGCTGGAGATGTGTAGTGAAGCACAATGACACTGCGACAATGCTTCTGCCCTCATCATCACGCCAACCACCTTTCGATCGCGCCTTTCCGTGCCTCGATCATGACGTCGACGACGGTCATGCTGGCAACAGCTCCGCAAGCTCATAGTAAGTAGGTTTGGTCGTGCATTTGCGGCAGCGATCGAAAAGGTGGACATCCTTGCGCTGTAGATGAGCGTGATATAGTTGTGGCTCTAAGCGAGTGCCAGAATGGAGAAGAAGCGAGAGTATAGAGCATCGGGCATCGGAGGCTAGGAGAAGTCTATGATGATGGCGGGGAGTGGAGCAGTTCGCGTGGCCCGGCTAGTCCGACTCTCAACCACCTCTTTCGTCCCTTTGCTTGGCTGGCATTTGGCATCGCGTCGCTGTCGCCGCGGGAGTCAGCGCAATTGGTGTTGCATGTTGCGGGCGGGAGCTTGGAAAGACTCGTGGCAGTGTTTGCGCGTGAGAGAACTCTTACTGCCCACTACTGTACACGTCTACTGTGCAGCGCATACGGCCGGGAAACAGAAACAATGATTGTGATGTTGGCATTGGCATTGTCGTAGTATGGCATGAAAGAGAGAAAGCACTCTACCGCACACTCGTTTCGAGACAGAACAGACTCATTCCGAAGCTCTCGCGAGCAACCCCATAGTAGTATTCGCCAGCATGGGTGGTTTCGAATATGCACTCGTGTAAGTCTCTCTTCATACAGAGTGGTGACGATCACTACTGACTTTTTGGGATGTGAAGACACCTCACCTACACCATCCCGCCCGCCGTCTTGCTGACCCTCCTCTACCTACCCCTCCTCACCCGTCTGGACCTCTACCGGATACTCTTCTTAATTACTATCGCCGTTACTGCCACCATCCCTTGGGATAGCTACCTCATACGGAACAACATCTGGTCCTATCCGGAAAATGTCATTGTTGGTCCGACCCTGTACTCCATCCCATTGGAAGAGGTATTCTTCTTCGTGATACAGACCTACAATACTACGCTACTGTACCTGCTGTTCAGCAAGGCCGTCTTGAAAGAGGTGTACCTGGTGAGGGAGGACCAAGGCCGGACAGGGCAGAAATGGAAGTATATCAAGCTGGGAGGACAACTCGTGCTGGGCCTGGCGCTCAAGCAAGGTATCACTTATGTGAAGGAGAATAAGCAAAACACATACCTGGGACTAATCCTGGTGTGGGCTTTCCCATTCCTTCTTCTTCTCTGGAGTCTTGGATACCAACTTCTCATCAATCTGCCAATCTACTGCACAGCAATTCCAATCGCCTTGCCAACATTCTACCTCTGGGTTGTGGATACACTAGCATTGAAGAGAGGGACATGGGTGATTGAGCATGGCACAAAGACAGGTGTGACATTGTGGGAAGGACTGGAAATTGAGGAGGCCATTTTCTTCCTTCTCACCAACCTGCTCATCGTCTGCGGCTTGGTAGCATTCGACAATGCAATCGCAGTACTCAATGCCTTTCCGGCCCACTTCCCCACAGTCCCGGGAATGCCAAGCCCCGTCCTCTTGGTCAAAGCACTACTACTGCCAGCTCGTGCCTACGATGACGATCGCATCTCTGGATTGCAACAAAGCGTGGAAAGGCTGAAGAGAAAGAGCCGAAGCTTCTATCTGGCTTCCTCCACATTTCAGGGACGATTGAGGATTGATCTCATCATACTCTATTCTTTCTGCAGAGTCGCAGACGACCTAATCGACAACGCCAAGGACCAGAAGGAAGCGAGAGAATGGCTGGCAAAGCTCAAGAAGTATCTTGACTTGTCTTATGCGACTGCAGAGCAGGATGCCCAAGGCAATGTCATTCAGAGCAAAGACGTCAACCGCGGACAAGCAACGCTTTTCACCATGCATAACTTCCCTCCTGATGCACAGTTGACACTGCTCCTTTTGCCAACACAGCGGCTCAGCAAGGAACCACTCAACGAACTGCTGAAGGGCTTCGAGATGGACCTTCAATTTGCGGATAAGAAAGAGAAGGGGTCAAGTTCAGGACCGATCAAGAGTGAAGAAGACTTGGACTTGTACGGAGGCAGAGTTGCAGGGACTGTCGCTTTACTCGTCATCCAGCTCGTCCTCCATCACTACCCAGGAGCATCAGAACCCAAGGCTCGACAACTAATGTCTGCTGGTCACAAAATGGGCATCGCATTGCAATATACCAATATTGCTCGCGATCTCGGAGTCGATGCACAGATTGGTCGGTGCTACGTGCCGCCGGGATGGCTAAAGAAAGAGAAGCTTAGTCCCGAAGCTATGGTCGCCGGACTCATAACACCAGGCCAGGTCGACGACTTCTTCTTCAAGAAAGTTGAGCTCATCCGCAGTCGTCTCCTCGATCGTGCCTTCTCCTTCTATGGACAATCTGTGGGCGCGATTGAGGAGCTACCGCGCCCTGCACGAGCTCCTATGCGGGTAGCAGTAGAAAGCTACATGCAGATTGGCAGAGAGCTGCGAAGACCCGGATACCTGGTGAAGGCTGGTCGCGCGACGGTACCTAAATGGAAAAGGTTATGGGTGGCTTGGAAGCGACTGATAAGTCCGGCGCCGCAAGAACGATAATATTGTTATATGTCGTGACATAGATTTGCATTTAGCATAGCGTTAGTGGTGGATTTGTTGCACAAGATACCCTTCTCGCAACGACTGACGGAGGAATGTAATGTAATACCTATCTGAGTCGTGCACCTCATGTCATATCAATATCACCATCAATTTGATGGACGCTGTCAAGATCTCACGCTAAGCCCCGCCACCGGGCGATCCGATCAGCGTCAATGCTTCATGCAGGTCCATCCCAGCCCACTTTCACATGCACTTCTGCTCTTCCCGTTCAACTTATCTCCACGATGCAATCACCCACACCAGACACGAAATACCTCAATGGCCGAAAAGCCACGCCAAAAGACCGCCATCATCATCGGCGCAGGAGTCGGAGGAGTCTCCACAGCCGCCCGCCTAGCTAAAGCAGGCTTCAAAGTCACCGTCCTCGAGAAGAACTCCTTCACCGGAGGCCGCTGCAGTCTAATCCACTACAACGCGAACGCCCACGACACTTCTTCCTCCTCCACCTACCGTTTCGACCAAGGTCCCTCCCTCCTCCTCCTCCCCCACCTCTTCCACCGCACCTTCCACGACCTCGACACAAGCCTCGAATCCGAAGGCGTGCACCTCCTAAAATGCGAGCCAAACTACGCCATCTGGTTCGGCGACGGCCAAAACTTCCAAATGTCCAGCGACCTAGCGCTCATGAAACGCGAAATCGAAAAATGGGAAGGCAAAGCCGGATATTCAAGATTTCTGCAGTACCTCAGTGAAGGGCATCGACATTACGAACTTTCGGTCGAACATGTTTTGTTAAAGAACTTTACGAGTTTGGGGAGTATGTTGAGGTGGGAGTTTTTGAAGAGGTTGTTTGAGTTGCATCCTTTTGAGAGTATTTGGGGAAGAGCGAGGAAGTATTTTTGGAGCGAGAGGTTGAGGAGGGTTTTTACGTTTGGGAGTATGTATATGGGTATGTCGCCGTTTGAGGCGCCGGGGACGTATAGTTTGTTGCAGTATACCGAGTTGGCGGAGGGGATTTGGTATCCGGTTGGAGGGTTTCATAGAGTTGTGGAGGCGCTGGTGAGGGTTGGGGAGAGGTTGGGGGTGGAGTATCGATTGGATACGGCGGTGGAGAGGATTTGGTTGAGTGAGGATGGAGGGAAGGTTAAAGGGGTGGTGCTGGGGGATGGCGCGAAATTGGAGGCTGATGTGGTGGTGAATAATTCGGATCTGGTCTACGCGTATGAGAATCTCTTGCCTGAAAGTGAGTATGCGGAAAGTTTGAAGAGTCGGCCGGGAAGTTGTAGTAGTATATCTTTCTACTGGGCTTTGGATCGACAAGTCCAAGAGTTGGGAGCACATAACATCTTCTTGGCTGATGAGTACCGCGAAAGCTTCGACAGCATTTTCAAACGACATCTCATCCCAGACGAACCGAGTTTCTACGTCAACGTCCCAAGCCGAATCGATCCTACCGCAGCTCCCGAAGGCAAAGACAGCATCGTCGTCCTCGTCCCGGTCGGCCACCTCATCGAAGACAACCAAACTTCTACACCTACCTCCCCAAAAACCACAACCAAAACCCAAGACTGGCCCTCCATGATCTCCCTCGCCCGAAAAACCATCCTCTCCACAATCACCTCCCGCACAGGCGTCGACATCACCCCTAACATCCTGCACGAACTCTCCAACGACCCTTCCACCTGGAAACAAACCTTTAATCTCGACCGCGGCGCAATCCTCGGTCTTTCACATTCTTTCTTCAATGTCCTGTGCTTCAGACCTACAACCCGAGCTCGAAGACCGAATCCTCTCACAGACAAGTACGTGGCGAAATTAGGTGTGGTGGGTCGTGTGTTGGAGGTTGTCATAGATTTTTTTCGGGGGAGAAATAGGGATGTACAGGGTTTGTATATGGTTGGGGCGAGTGTGCATCCGGGAACGGGTGTGCCGATTTGTTTGGCTGGTGGGGGGTTAGTTGCGAGGCAGGTTTGTGAGGATTTTGGGGTTGAGGTTCCGTGGGCGCAGCATAGTGAGAGGGGAGGGGAGAGGGTGGGGAGACTTGATCGCTTGGAGAGGCCGGTTTGGGTGGATAGTTGGGAGCAGTGGGTTGGGATTTTGCTGGTGCTTGCGGTTGGGCCTTGGGTGTTTTGTATTTTGGGGTTGTGGTGGGGAGGAAGGGGTCATTGATGGATGTGGTTTGGTGATTGATGTTATACGATCTGCATGCTTTCTGAAATTTTCATGCTATATGCTCCGTTGGAAACCTTTTCGTCTAATCTTGTATACTGCTGCTAACACACGACATCTGCATCCACATCCTCTCCTCTCCTCTCTGGGCCTTTGGTAACATTTTCAGCAGATTAGGTAGGTACCAGTCAATCCCCTTCATTGTAGGGAGAAAAGTAAGTGAGTGACTAGATGCTTTTGCGCAAAATATCTTTACAAGTCCTCAATAATGTAGACCCATTCCTGAGTCAGGTGCATACATACTACTGTACCGCTCAATTTCCTTCAGCATGGCCAAGCTGTTGGAATCCCGGTGCCTCCCGGGTTGACGAGAGGCGTCGAGAGCTCGCCAAACAACCTTCCCCTCATCAACGGACTACGGACCTTGCCAGCTTGTTGCCGTTTCGGAAAGATATGACCAACCCCGCCTTCACCTGACCAGACCAGAGAGGAAAAATCTGCGCAGGCGGTCTGACTCTGACATGGATTTTTTGACCCCACGACTTCTGGCGCGTTTGATGAAAATTCTGGGTTGCGGGGAGTGTGCAGCTTATTATTCGCATCGAGCCTGTGTAGAATATTGTCGGCTTTCTCGGCTTCAGCTTCAGTCAGCAGCAAAATGACTTGGCTGTTTTACAGTAGAACTACACGTGATTGATGAGAAGAGCATTACTATGTAACCCTTCCAACTTGTCAGTTAGCGCGGGGAGAACCCTACACCTCCGAAGGAGGCTTAGCAAGCATATATACCGCTATTATCTACTAAATATTGCTCTTCTAGCTCTTTCTAAACCCTAGAATCCTCTAGTATATCGTAGATATCGTGTTGTTAATAATCTAGTAGTATAGACCCTTCTAAGGTGTTATTAATCGTCGTTTCTACTATCGTTTCTACTATAGTTAAGACTGCTTGTATTAACCTCGACTAGTAAGGCTAATTAGCTAACCTATTTAGCAAAGGTATAACTACTAAGCAGGCTCTAGCCTTCTCGAAGTTGCTATTATCGGTACGGATAGTATATCGCTATTAAGTTAAGTAGAGGCTATTTAGTTAGCTATATATGCCTTAAACTAGCACTTCTCGTAATATATACTATACTATCTTACTAGCCGAAGAATAGGACTTCCTACGAGGCTTCCTTATCGACCGTCCGGACTTATATTTTATAGAGATAATCGAAGCTCTTTAGGACGAGTTTATACGATTAAGGCCTATTTCGGAGAGTAGTAATAGTATAGTAATTAAGCCGCGGTTATTAACGAAGGTGCTAAAGAAGAAGCTCGGTTTAACTCGGAAAGAGATATAGCGAGAGGCGAAGGAGCGCAATCCCTTCTTAAAGGCATTATAAACGATTAGGTGCGCTAAATAGCCGGTCGATCGATTAGTGTTTATCGACGAGACTACTAGTAATTAGAAGATAGGTTAGCGGAAGTATAGATAGTCTCCGAAAGGTATAAATTACGTAGATACGTAGTATACGAAGCGAGAGGTTAGATAGTTAGTTTTGCTAGCCTTTACGCTATACGGGTACTTGCCTTATACTCGTGTTTACTAAGGATCTATTAATAGTAATCGTTTCTACTTCTAGTTAACTAAACAAGTCCTTCCTTGCCTCGAAGATAGTCCGCCGATAATATTTATTATAGATAATACTAGTATCTACTATAGAGCGAGGATTAAATAGGCAATACTAGAAGCTAGCTATTACCTCGAATTTCTACCGCTATATTCGCCGGATTTAAACCTAATCGAAGGTAGCTTTAATCTACTAAAGAAGGTTATTAAAAAATATAGAGATTAGCTACTAAAATTTGTTAGCTTTTAGGATTACTTACTATAGTGTTTATATAAGTATAAGGGCAGAAGGGCGCGTAGACTATTTGCTTATACTAGTTATAATATAGATAGAGTCGATATTCTATACGATCTAGCTGAATTTGAATATACTACTAGCGCGGCTTAGAATATAATAGCGCTTAACCCGGAAGAGTCTTAATAGATAGAATAGGCTTAGAATACTACGCCTTCGATACTAGATAATGCGTCGATAGTGTATTATAACGGTAAGAGCGATTATATGTAAGCAGGGTATATTAGCAGGTAGATAGGGTAGTAGTAGGTACGAGTAGTATTCGATAAGAATCTAGGAGGAGAGGGAGGAAGGTAGGAGAGTTAGCCTAACGCTAAGCGCCAAGCCCTGCCTAAGGCACTAAGACCCTAGCTTTACTCGGCCTAATTATATGCCAATTACGTATAGCCTCTTTAGCTCTAATATACGCTTCCCTTCTAAAGGCTACGCCCTCGTAGCCTGTCTATGTTCTACGACCCCTATTGCCGCTAACTTAGCAAGTCTAATAAGCTGCTTAGCCCGCGCTAAATTGAATACTTAACTACCTAATTATGTAACTATGTTAAACCTTACCTTTTAATATAATGTCTAACTTCTAACTGCGCTATCCCTATATACAATAAACTATAAAGTGATATATATCTACAAGAATTAAGGGCCTTCGACTAATTACAATACGAGCGCGTCTTCCCTACTATAATAGGTAGACGTACGAGGTATTGCAGCACTGCCTCCGTTCTAAGTAATGTCGTACGAGTTCTCTGCGTCTACTCTAACAGACCTAGAAATGTCCGCTCCGAGGATTTGTCCGCTTCCGAGGGTTGTTCTTATTGTTACGAGGGCCATTATTTACTATCGTAGTTTCACTAGCCCTAATTAGTTAGGTTTAGCAGCCTTCGAGTGTTAACTAATTATATCTTTTTAAAAAACTTAGTTCTTCTAGTTTCTATAGGTAAAGGCTATTATAAGTGCAGTAGTAGAGGTTCGCCTCGCTTAAAGGGTTAGATAGATCGAGGAGTAACCTATTGTCTGCAAGATCGACCCCGGCTAGCTTAGCTCTATAGTTTTGCCCTTAGTTAGTTAGTCTATTAGTCGCTCAATCTTTTAAGCGGCTTAAAGTTTTAATTAAAGTTTTAATTAAAGGTGCCTTAGGCTCGTAGTGTAGGTAAGGTTGTGTCCGTAGGTATAGTAATAGTAGCAAGTAATATTAACAATAGCGACGCTAGTCGTCTTAGCGCTAACTTTACCTTGCTTTTCGATTTCCTTCTTCGACTAATAATATACTCCGTAATACTGTTACTAATATAGCCGCGTTAGCCGCCGGCGCACTGCTAGCTCGTAGCGCGATACTATTACCTTTATTACCGTCATTCGTACGCGCGCGCACGTCGCCCTTGTCGAACGCTTAGGTCTCGAGGCCTCGATAGAATAAAGAATAAAAGGGGGACCTATAGGGCGCATTAGTAAAGAGGTAGAATCCTCGAAAGAGCAGTCGATTAGTTAACAGTTATAGCGCGTTTATTAACGCTCGGTACGCATCCGTTATCGTAGTATAGTCTTATTGTCCTTTACTAACAATTGCTTGCCTCTAATTAGTTAGCTTAATAGCACCCCGGGGGTAGCATTGTTCCTAGGCCTTAATAATAACATTATAAGCTTTTGGCCTTCTTCTTGTTCTTTACGCTAGTCTAATACTTATCTAACAACTCGGTTATATCCTTAAAGGAACCTTTAGCTTCCTATAAGTCCTATTTAGGTAAATAGCCTTGCTATCTTAATAGGTACTCCTTCTTGCCTTTCCTAGTCCGGTGCTATAGGATACGTTCTATAGACTATAGCTCTTCCCTATCCGCTAGTATGTCTTCGTGTTTAGTAGGTGCTTCATCCCCCTCGCGTAGATAATATAGCTTAAGGAGGGATATATAGAAGGTGTTATAGATAGTATAATAGGGAGGAAGCTACAACTAATAGGCCTATACGGAGGAGCCCTTAACTTCTCGAATGCGGAATAGGCTAATGTATCTTAGTGCGAGCTTAGGCCTTGTTTTGCCGTTAGGTAATAGGTGTTTGCGGATACGGAGGTTCTTTGTACTAAGCATAACTATGTCGCCTTACTTGAAGGTTATTAGTATATAGCGCTTATCGTAGTAGGTCTTTTAGTACTCTTAAGCCTTTGTCAACTTCTCGGCTATCTTAGTATAGATTTCTCGCATCTTCTAGACACGTTCTATTGCCGCTAGCGTTTCTAGTACTTAACGCGCTTCCCTTTCCTTGCGCTCGGCCTCGAGCGATAGTAGGTCTTGTAGTATAGCAGCGTTCTAGCCTATTATAGCTATGTAGGGCGAGATCTTGGTTAATAAATGTATACTATTATTGTATACGAATTCTGTAGGCTATAGGAGGTTAACCTAATCCTCGGGGTTCTTATTAATATAGCTACGTAGGTACTGCTATAGGGTAGCATTCTGCCTCTCTATCTAACCGTTAGTCTATAGATAGAAGGCTGTTAATAGCCGATGCTTCAGTCTTAGCTATAAGCAAATCTCGCTCTAATAGTAAGATATAAATGTCGAGCCCCTATCGGAGACTATCCCCTTAGGGGTTCCCTAATAGGTGCAGAAGATGTTACTCTATAGCGCCTCTGCTATATTAATAGCAGTCCAATCCTTACGAGTAGGAATATAGCGAGCACCCTTAGTAAATCGGTCTATAATAACTAGTATAGCGTTAAAGACGTCTTTGCTTCCTCTTCGCTTAGTAGAGGGAAGACCTATAATAAAGTCTATTATAAGCTCTATAAAAGGCTTCTTTAGAATAGGGAGTAAAGACAACTCGCTAAATAGTAAGTGCTTTAGTACTTTAACTCGCTAGCATACTATACAGGTTTGTATATACTCCTTTATATACCGCTTACTATTTAGCTAGTAGTATGTGCGCGATAGTAGCTCGTGCGACCTCTCTATACTATAGTAACTAGCGAGCTCACTATTATAGTGCCTCTTTAAAAGCTCTTGTCTAATCGATTGTTTAGCGAGGACATAGTATCTGCCCTTAAACTTTAAGTAACCTTTATCGTCGATCGACTAGTTATTACTCTTGCTAGATCGAGTC